TAAGGTCTGGAGGCTGACTAGGCCACTCCAGGACCTTAATGTGCTTCTTCTTGAGCCACTCCTTTGTTGCCTTGGCCGTGTGTTATGGGTCATTGTCATGCTGGAATACCCATCCACGACCCATTTTCAATGCCCTGGCTGAGGGAAGGAGGTTCTCACCCAAGATTTGACGGTACATGGCCCCGTCCATCGTCCCTTTGATGTGGTGAAGTTGTCCTGACCCCTTAGCAGAAAAACACCCCCAAAGCATAATGTTTCCACCTCCATGTTTGACGGTGGGGATGGTGTTCTTGGGGTCATAGGTAGCATTCCTCCTCCAAACACGGCGAGTTGAGTTGATGCCAAAGAGCTCCATTCTGGTCTCATCTGACCACAACACTTTCACCCATTTGTCCTCTGAATCATTCAGATGTTCATTGGCAAACTTCAGACGGGCATGTATACGTGCTTTCTTGAGCAGGGGGACCTTGCGGGAGCTGCAGAATTTCAGTCCTTCACGGCATAGTGTGTTACCAATTGTTTTCTTGGTGACTATGGTCCCAGCTGCCTTGAGATCATTGACAAGATCCTCCCGTGTAGTTCTGGGCTGATTCTTCACCGTTCTCATGATCATTGCAACTCCACGAGGTGAGATCTTGCATGGAGCCCCAGGCCGAGGGAGATTGACAGTTATTTTGTGTTTCTTCCATTTGCGAATAATCGCACCAACTGTTGTCACCTTCTCACCAAGCTGCTTGGCAATGGTCTTGTAGCCCATTCCAGCCTTCTGTAGGTCTACAATCTTGTCCCTGACATCCTTGGATAGCTCCTTGGTCTTGACCATGGTGGAGAGTTTGGAATCTGATTGATTGATTGCTTCTGTGGACAGGTGTCTTTTATACAGGTAACAAGCTGAAATTAGGAGCACTCCCTTTAAGAGTGTGCTCCTAATCTCAGCTCGTTACCTGTGTAGTGGTTGAACTTTACACGAACAACTTGTCTTTCTTCAACCACTTCTTTATTTTCATCGTTAACACGTCCTCCACACTCCACCGTATCCTGGACACCACGGCTCGCTCGCCGTGCTTCGCCCGTCTCGCTCATCACCTTGGTTCCCAGTATCACGTCACTCTGCTCCGCACACACGTCTTCAACTCTATTCCTACGCTCTCTCCACTGCTGGCTATCCTCCTCAGCTCCTCCGTTATACAGCGTCGTCGCACACAGCGAAACCCAATCTCACTTCTCTGTCTCCGCACAACTCGTCTCCAGCTCCTCAATTACTACGCTCACTCCACTGCTAACTGCTTCGTCTTGCTTCAGCTTCGCTATCACGATGCTCACTCCACTGCTAACTGCTTCGTCTTGCTTCGGTTTCGCTATCACTATGCTCACTCCACTGCTAACTGCTTCGTCTTGCTTCGGCTTCGCCATCACGATGCTCCAACTCTCTTCTAAACTCTGTTTTCGAACTCCACGTCTTCACCGCACAGCTCCCAACTCCAATCTCACCCTCTCTCTCTCTGTCTCCCCCCAATTTATCCCCATTCTCATTATCGCTAATTAATTGGTCCGCGTGACTCCGCACGCCTCGCGTCTTCAACCACCTCCCTTTTTCCAGACACCTCGACGCCTCCTCGGCCCCAGCAACAGCACCAACCAATCACAGCCCTTCTGGATTAATTGGCCCGACCGTTACCTCATCCACCCCAGCCTCTTCACCTGGCTGTCCTAACACGACCCCACTGTTTCCGCCGTCTCCTCAGGCTGACCCCAGATAAACCCCACACTGTCCGTGTGATCAATACACTCGCGCAGTTTCCCCAGCACACCTTCCTACTCCACTACACCTGTATAAAAGACACCTGGGAGCCAGAAATCTTTCTGATTGAGAGGGGGTCAAATACTTATTTCCCTCATTAAAATGCAAATCAATTTATAACATTTTTGATATGCGTTTTTCTGGATTTTGTTGTTGTTATTCTGTCTCTCACTGTTCAAATAAACCTACCATTAAAATTATAGACTGATCATTTCTTTGTCAGTGGGCAAACGTACAAAAGCAGCAGGGGATCAAATACTTTTTCCCAGACTGTATTACTCGCCTTCCGTGGGGGAGGGTGGGTGGCACCTGGGTACTGATGGGGGACGTGACGTGAAGGCTTCGATCCATTGGGCCTCCCCAACACACCACAGTACACAGCTCACATAAACCGTTTTGGTCTATGCTCTCTGCTTCTTTCGGTAAAGTCACGTAGATAGAAAAAATAATACGTGACTTTACCGAAAGAACCAGAGAGTATGGATTCCTGCAGTCACGAAAGCTTCAAATCAAGACCGTTTTGGTCTACACTGACACGCGCATACATCACACATACCACACGCACTCATCTGTGACATATGTACGGCACTGTGGAGTACATGTGTACGTGTAACACACTCAGAATATGTATTTATATTGGAGGAATCCGCTGAGCTATGAAGCTGTTTTTCACAGATGTCCGCTATGTGTTGCATTTTTTTTTAAACATAGGTTTTCAGCCTAGGCGTTTCAGCTAGCCGGACGAGGATCCACCACCACATCTCACCTGCCAGATCACACGTTCATAGATTGAAATTGGAGCAGGGGGGGGAATCACGTGATATCAAATGATTTAACCCATTGGGCCAGCATCACCGTAATGTGTTCGTGGGTTAATCGGTGACATTACGTGAGGGCATGTGTTGTAACAAGAGGAAGTTGAGACGTCACTTGTTGGCAGTGTCTGGGCACATGGTGTTTTTGCTTAATTCCCGTGTAATGACGGCGTGGATTGAGGGCTCAATATGAATTCTGATGACGTGGGTTGAGGTTTTAATGAGTGAGGCATTGCCATCTGGGTCAGCGGCTCCGTAGTGTGGAAAATTTAGACGACACTACCACCATTATCATGGTCAATTTAGATCTAGAGACAAAAATATCCCGTAGAGGCGTTTTAACACAGTGTTGGGGCACGCGCTTTTAGAGGGCACAAATTCAGACCGGCACGACACACGAGGAGGTAGGCGGTCAGTCCCATGCCCGGCTGCCTCTGACCAGTTCAGATATTCGTCACCAATGTTGGCTGGGAGTGGGAATCGAACTCGGGGTGTAGGATCCATAGCGCAGTGCTCTATCCATTACAATATCGCTCCCCTTACATGCACACACGCATGGACAGATGCACACACGCACAAAGATCCGTAGTGTACATTGGGTTACCACCTGTGTGGCTTTGACCCAGACGGCCCATGAATTGGCATGTGTTCAGGTGGCAGTTATTGATTTGCACTGAAATTTGGTGGCATTGTGTTAAACTTAATCAGTTTCCTGCATAATTTTGATAGACCTATAGGTCTATAGGCCACGGGAGTCGGCAACCTGCGGCTCCTTAGCCGCATGCGGCTCTGTAACGACTGCTTCCTGACGTTAGCTCGTGAGGAGCACCGTGTGGTATTCACATGCATTGCGGTGACTGAAACATTGAGGGGTTATTTGTTTTTTACACAATTCGTAAAAAAGATCTATTCTTGTTATTTTGGTCTGCCGATCCCTGCCCTAGACCTATGGGGAAATATTCCAGGGTAAAGATCTTAGGGTTTGGTAGATTGGTGCTCAGCAACTGGCGTGCCGCTGTGGCAAAGTCCCCTTTGTTATTCGGTATTTTCCGAATTACTGTATAAGGAAATAACCTCACTGTCCTCAAGCTGGGGCAGTCGAACTTTCCTCTTCCATGCCGTTCAGTGGCCGATCCAGCCCCCACCTACCGCCCTCCCCTCTCTCCCATTGGTCGGACATGCGCAGTACAGCCCCCACCTACCACCCTCCCCTCTCTCCCATTGGTCGCACATGCGCAGTACAGCCCCCACCTACCGCCCTCCCCTCTCTCCCATTGATTGCCCATGCACAGTACACCCCCCCCGCCTACCATTCTCCGCTTCACCGATTGGTCACGCAAGCGCAGTACAGCCCCCACCTACCGCCCTTCCCTTTCTCCCATTGGTTGCCCACGCGCAGTAGACCCCCCCCCCCGCCACCTACCGCCCTCCCCTTCTCCCACTGGTCGCCGCATGCTCTCACTGCGGCCAGACGACCGTCAGCCACCACCACGGGGCCCTCTGTCAACTCCCCACGTAGGCGCAGTTGGGCGAAAAAATTGGCGCTGCCAAGTTCCAGCCAAGCTGCGCGCCACAGAACCAAGGGGGTCAAGAAGCGCCCCGCGTGGATGGCGCAAACTCAGACACGAGGATGGGCTCGTGTATACTCTTTGGTTCTTTCGGTAAAGTCACGTAGGTAGAAAAAGAAAATTAAATATATATACCCAAAAAAGCCACTTTTGTCGAGCTTAACAGTTGTGGCCAGGTCGCTTTCAGAAAAAAATAAGTTCATAGTTCAGTCGGCTTTACCTGGTAAGATAAAAAAAAATGTTTAGTTGTATTTGCGATTTGTTTAGCTTTCATAAACTTTACACCCCTGTCGTGTTTTATATTGTTTATTGTAACGTTCTGACCCGCCCCTACTAGGGCATCTGTAATTTTTTTTAAAAACTGCTTTTTAGCTCATCGGATTCCAGCATAAAATATTGCGATTATTAGGGGAGGCCCCAGGACCGATTCAGATACTCGTTGGCCGTGAGCGGGAATCGAACTCCTTCAGGCAGGGCCGGATTATGGCACGGGGCTACAGCCCAGGGGCATCCGCCGGCTGGAGGGCCTCCAGAGATGAAGTGAAAAGTTATTTCATTTGTGAATTTTGACTTAAAACTTTCGTGACTGCAGGAATTAATATTCTTGGTTCTTTCGGTAAAGTCACGTAGATATAAAATAAATATAATACATTTTAATTGCATTGTTTATTGTTTTTTTTATTATCTCATTTGTGAATGCTAAATTTGTGAATGCTGAATCAAACTTCGATTCAGCGGCTCCTTCGCAGCGCAGCGCCCTAACCGCCGCGCCACCGCTCCCCCGCAACACCCACGCCCCGCCCCCTACAATCAGCCGCGCCCCCTCGCACCGAGGCCCCGTCCCCACCCAAGCGGCACCGCGCGCTCGCCGCCGTTGCCAGGGCGACGCGTGTTGCGGCAGCGGCTGCTTGTGGTTGTACTGCTGCTTGTGGTTGTACTGCTGCTGGTTGTACTGCTGCTGGTTGTACTGCTGCTGGTTGTACTGCTGCTGGTTGTACTGCTGCTTGTGGTTGTACTGCTGCTTGTGGTTGTACTGCTGCTGGTTGTACTGCTTGTGGTTGTAACTGCTTGTGGTTGTAATTGCATGCAGTTGCACTGCTGCATGTGGTTGTAACTTGCTGGTGGCTGTGCTGCTGCTGCTGCAAGTGATTGTAATTACTGCTGGTGGTTTATGCCGGGACTGCCTACCCACGAAGCACCTCCGATCGGCACAGCCGCCTCACGTCGCGCTGGCTAAAGAAGTTCACCCCACGCCTTACGGAAGCCGCCACCACCACCACCACCGCCGCAGGCCGCAGCCCCGGTGTTGTTGGGGGGGGCTGCAGCTGCTGCCGCTGCTGCTGCTGCTGCTCAATGTCGTCCCCACACGCCCTGTCCGCGCTGCTCGCCGGCGCCCGAGCAAGGCCCCGAGTCGTCCCGGCAGCAGCAGCGGTGGTGGCGGACACGGAGGTAACAGCGGGTGACGTGATGATCTCTTGCTCATAGCGACGACGGCGATCATTGATGATGATGATGATTGCTGCTGCTGCTGTTGCTGCATAGCCGTCAACCCGTACGGGTTACCACGTGTTCCTGTACAACCGCCGGGGATTGAGTGTTCGGGTCAATCCGGCGTGCAGACGTTTTCAATGCGGGTAAACAACAACAGCGACAACAACGAGGAACTGTGTTGTCGTGCTCTTTGTTTCTTTCGGTTAAAGTCGCGTAGATAAGAAAAATTAATAGATGGCGACGTTTCGATCGCAACACAAGCAACCGTCATCAGGTGAGACGAACACAGCAGGGAGGAACTGCTGACGCAGGAGCAATTTGCGTCGTGTTTCTCCCCTTGTGATGAGACTTTGTGGGGTGAACGTTGTGATTTATAAGGGGGGCACGGGGTGTTTGACCAATAAGGTCCGAAATGGTCTGTAATAAGTTAGGGCATTGATAAGGGGTTGACAAGCTGTGATGGATGATGTTGACAACAATAAGAACGCAGTGCTGTGCGGGCGATGCTACTGTGGCCTTTTGTGAAACGGGGATTTGTGGGTTGTGTGTGTGTGGTTTTTTGTTTGTTAGCGGAGCTGTCCCCGGGCTGAGCTCCGGCGGAAAATGTGTTTGTTGTTGTTGTTGGAGAAGGAAGGAGGGGGGTGTAAGAGCATGGCGTGCTGTGGGGTGACGTTAAGAGCGGAAGAGGGCAGGGGTAAGGAGAGCAGAGCGTGAAATCTATGGTGAAATCTATGGTGATATCTTACATTTAAAAAAGCATTTTAAAAAACCGAAATGATGAACGATGCAAAGTGCCGACTACACCGAGCCATCCTCTTGTTTCCTCTGACCGTAAAAAAAAAACTAGCGGAAGAGATTCCCCGAGAAATGAAATGAAGGCTCTGCCTGTACAACAAGACGAAGATCCGCCGTGTAGCCTGTAACAGGCTGTAGGGACAAGTGCTGTTAGCGAGTAGCATCCTTGAAGGCTACCGGCACGGCCACGCGAGAGGGTGGGCGGCCAACACCGCGCCCGGCCGCCTTTGTCTCCCCCAGTGGCGACGTTTACGACACACCGCTACACCTGCTGCTCATTTGAGGCCGAGTCGACCTAGGGGAGGCCCAGGACCGGTTCAAAGATAATCTTCAGCCGGGTGTTGGTGGCCGTGGGCGTGAATCGAACTCGGGTGGCCAGGGTGCGTAGTGCAGCGTAGCGCTAACCCCTACGCCACCGCTCCCCCCCCCATATGCGCTGCCTGTGTGACCACATTCACCCGCAAAGCTAAGCAGGAGTTGCGCCTGTACATTGCTTAAATGGACGCGCACAAGACATCGCATTGCGCTATCGGTTGCTCCTGTGGGGCCAACAATGTCCATCGTTGCACCGTACAGTCCTGCTTTGCTCTCTAACGTCCGTGCACCCCACGCCTTTAATAAGGGGCCGTCCATAAATGACGTCACGCACCTAGGGGAGGGGTCAGACATTTGTGACGATGTGTGACGAGGTGTGGGGGGGGGTTTGAGAAATGTGACGTCACATCAAAATGCGCAACTTTAAATAAATATAGACAACACGTTCTACTTAATTAAATCGACTTTTTTAAATAAATGTTTTCTCCGACAACATCAGAGTGCAGCGGCACATTAAATACGTACTACAATGACAATAGTTTAAGGCGATTTGAAGCATGTTTTATATTTTTGGGGGGGGGCAGAGCTTTGTGACGTCATATTTGAGGGGGGGTCTGACTTTTTTTGACGCCGTGTGACGAGGGGGCGGGGTCAAAAATCGTCCAAAATCGCGTGACGTCATTTATGGACGGCCCCTAACCTGCTTTGACCATTGAGGTGAAGTATGGGCATGTGACCCCACGACCCACAAGGCGTAGGGAAAGGCCCTCATCCAGCAGTGGATTTACAGAGACCTGTGTCTGTGTATCGGACCTTCAGTTGTAAATGTTGCATTGGCATATACGGCAGTACCGTTAGCATCAGCATCAGAAGCCTCAGCAGCAGTTGCAGCAAAAGTACCATCAGCATCAGTACCTTCAGCATTGGAAAAGTCATAGGTGTTATCAGTATCGTGAACAGCGTGAGAAGCACTCTCAGCAGCCTCATCAGCTGCAGAAGTCGTTTCAGAAGTGTCAGCAGCAGAAGTTTAATCATTAACAGTTGCACCATCAATACAATAATCATCAGTAACAGCAGAAGCAGCAGAATTTAAAATTATCAGAGTCATCACTGTGTCATCATCATAAACAGTAGCAGCATTATCAGCCGCAGAAGCGTAATTTGCCAGCGCTATCACTATCTGCAGTCGCAGTATCACCAGCACACAAAAAACATCATAAGCATCGCCTCCATCAGCAGCATCATCAGGAGCAACGTCTCATAAACATTTACCTTGCTTTCAACTGAATTACAGTCATCACTGCTGCATCTCCTAACAGTCACGTTTATAACAGTCACAATATTGTTATTGATGGCCCCTTATGACAGTAACCTTCGTCGCAACATCATCAGTCGAAATAGCCGCAATATTAGTCATTGATATCAGCATTTTCAGTAAGGGCAGCATAACCATCACATACATCAGCATCATCACCACTCGAAGCAGAAGCAGCATCATAAGCTGCCAAGCCATTAGCACCATCATCACCATCATCAACATCGGCTACATCATCAGATGAGTCAAACTTGTTAAACAGCTGCTGTTGGTTAGCCAGATGTTAGCCAGTCAGAGTACTTGTTCAACACAATGGGGCCCTGTCAGTGCAACGAAAACAATGCTATGTAAAAATGCACGTGCTGTTACTGAATCATATGTAAATACAACCACATACAAATCTCACGGAAACATAAAGCATTTAGTTTGCCGGTCTTCAAGGCATCCTGTATATCAATGGCTCCAGCGTCTGCTTGTCTCAATAAATATTAACGATGAATACACACGTCTAGAAGGTCAATAGACTAAAACATATTTTGTATTTTTGCCGACAGAGAGTGGAGGTTTATTCATGTATTTCATGACCACAGAGTTGCACAACGATGCAGAATGAGGCATTAGTGGGAGTTGAGCTCAGATATCCGAAGTTTATTTCAGACAACGCACCAAACTCAAAGATGTTCAGACATCACCGACAACATCTGCTCCAGCCTAAAATTGTAAAACGATTTCTGAACCTCACGGTCGTCCTTGGATGTTACGCGGCATTTTGTGTAGGTAGCCCTTGTCAGGAATCTAAGCACTTTAATGCAATTCAATTTTTTTCTTGCTCATGCAAAGCATCCACTTGAATGTCTATCTCGCAATCTGGCAGAGCCCATGGATTTTTCCACATTCTGTTTGGCAAGTGAGACGTGGCTGATGGAATTGTGAAACTTGGGAATTTTGACAATGACGCCAGTGTGCAATGACGTAATCGAGACATTTTAATTAACATGACAATGACTTCAACATCCATTTTACAACAGGATGCACTTATGACTCTTCCTCACAGAAATGTACTAAACGCCTGCAGTGGAAATCATACTGTCGCCTCTACTCTGTGCAAGCCGTGACGCTGACCACTAGACCAGCCTGTATCCTAGTGCCCATGTTGAAGCAGTACCCATTTTATTGACCCCAGAGGTATGATGAGTCAATCCCCAAGCAGCATTTGAACTTGCAACCTTCCTTCCGATCACTTGCTGCTCGCAATACTGCTTTCAATTAATGCTGCGATTTAAACGATTTAAGCGTCACACTTGGCAATTTTACTGGGAGTACGGTTATTTGCAGTTGAGGTGTGGTCTGGCTTACATTATGTCACGTCGCAACAAGCAGTAATTGTATCTGTTTCCATAGCAGCAGAATCGTTGCATTGCCAAGTTTGAGGTCAAACCACAGTGTGCAATTAATGCAGAGCTACAGCTGACATCGGTTTGAACGATTGCATTAAATTATGTTTTCTACACACTCCACCGTTGGCACTGTGGGCTAATAACTTCCATTAATTTAGTTTCCGTACTTTATTATGTCCATTATTACGTACTGAAATATAATACTGCCAGTATGTATGGTAAATACACACGACTTGCAATCCAGAGTTCGCTGGTTCAATCATCTGGCATGGCAGTTGAAGCAATGTGTGGTGGGGTAAAGTGTGGGCACTCTCACCTCTTCCAAGATTCCTGATAATTGTAAAAGTGGCCAAAATAACCTACTAGTGGGACTCTCTGGAGCTTCCTGTATTGCAGGCCCTTCTACCAGCAGTGGCATAAGCAGGATATTGCAGGGTTGCACCTCTATCTTTGACCCTTTTCACATTTATGGGAGTCCAGTTTAATTCAATTCCCCATGCATACATGACCTCATGTGTGAACACACGTTGAGAAGCACATCTGCCGTTGCTCCAAGCCCTCGTACTTGTCATCACATATGTTCTTTCCACTAATGCCTCTCTAATGCCGTCCCAGCACAGCTACATCACTGCGGGATTACCAGCCCTAATCAGATTGCTATTTGCCAATACTGTACATTGCGCTCATGTTAAACTGAAGATACAGTGACTGTGGTCAAACGTCATAAAGAAAATTGTGTTAAAGCTCTAAACTAATTGTGAAACTGTAAAGGCAGTGCCTTTTATTTAAACAAACCAAAGCGGGATTAGACACATTTACTCTTAAAGGAATGAACTGAGTTACAGTCCTGTGTTCTGCTCTGGATGGCCTCTTAATTGCAGTGAATGTGGACTTTCTTTTTATACAAATATAAACGAAACTATTTTTATTTGACCAGGTTAAAGCCCACTGAGCTATTTAGCTCTCTTTCAGAAGCAACTTGGCCACAATTGATAGCTCAACGAGTGGCTTTACACTAGGGAATTTATAGCAGCCATGAAGGTGCGACTCTGCAATGACTTGTTCATATCACTGCTGGCGTAAGGGCCTTCACTCGAGAAAGCCCTAGAGAGCACCTCTAAGGGGTATTTGTGTCCTCTTCCACGTTGGCTTGTCATACTGGAAGAGGTTGGAGCACCCACCGTTAACGCCACCGCACGCGGCCTGCCGAACAACTTGCAGTGGCGAACCCGTTTATGATGCTGGGTGAACAGAGGCAGAGGGAGGAATTTACGAAATTTGCACCGTTGTTGTCACACAGGGAGATCGAATTGGCGGCCTCCGTATTGTAAATCCAGTGTTCTCAGCATTACATCACAGCACACATCCTGCACCTTATGTATGTTTATATATGTGTATATTACCTATTTATCCTCTCCTATTCTCTCCTTCCAAAGCAGACGTAGCATCGATATTCCCTGAGAATCCCAGCCAAGTTAATTTAATAATTACTACCATCTTTGTGGAGAATGTTCCAAAATAAATAAGCAAATAACATGCCAGAGTTTGCTTGTGTTGAACTGTTGCTGCTGAAATTTTGTACTCCCAGCAGGGCGTGTTGCTGATGGGATGTGTTAAAATCACTTGAACATTTTTGACACAAATGGCCAAGTATGTGAAGGAGGCAAGTTGTATGTGAAGGAGGCAAGTAAACAAATGAAGTAGCGGTGTCCGTACTCCTTAAACGTTGGTGTACGGTGCTTTTTACGGAATATTTTGCTGTTTTTTTCCTGGATTTTCTGTTTGCACGGTCACATAGTCACTTTAAGATGTTTTTTTGCTCGTGGTTTTGTTTTTTGTTTGTTGCGGGTTGCACCCGATTCAAGAGCCGAATGGCTCACAGGGCTCTATACCAAATACATGAAACTGGAAGCTGAAACTAATGAGCCTGTGCGTATTTGCTCACCTGTCCATACTGGACATCTGTCTGTACAAGAGCTTCATAGCTCACCGGATCCCTCCTCCTGCAGTCTAAATAAAGATTCTCATGTGTGCACACAGCGGGAGAGCGGCTCCGACAGCGGGTTAGAAGATGCCCCGCCACGCCGGCCGGCGTCACTCCCCTCCACGCGGGTCTGCCCCGTCCCTACCACCACGGCCGCCCCTGTGTCTGACCCAGCCCGGCTGCGGGGGTTCGCCGAGCAGGCAGACGAGCGAGTGGGCGAGCGGACGGGCGGAGAGCAGCTGGAGGTCCTGTACCGGGAAGCCGTCAAGAGGGCCCAGGAGCAACGGCCTATGTCACCTGAGACCCCCAGGGAGGACGAGGGGAGCTCGCCGGAGCCGTCCGCGAAGGCAACGCCGGCGGCGTGGAGCGATCGCACGTGGGACGCCGACAACCGCCGTGGTGCCGTGTCCAAGCCACCTTTGCCGAGGTTTGCCGTTTTAGACCGAGCAAAAAAAAAATCCGTTCAATATGAACTATTGAAATTGTAAAAATATTTTTTACATTTTACCAGGTAAGGCCCTCTGAGCTATATAGCTGTTTTTCAAAGCGACCTGGCCACAAATGATAGCTCACCAAAGTGGCTTATCATGGGGAAATGTATAGCCGCCAAATGCTGGAAACGCACGTTTTTAAATGTGGTGGGAAAAACTAGAGGACCCGGAGAAAAATCCACACCACCACGGGGAGAGAAACATGAAAACTCCGAATATACAGCAGGCATCAGGGTCAGGGATTGAACCCACGACCTCCTGCATACCAGGCGAGGTAGATAACATCTCCGCCACTGCAGCAGTTAATGTTTCAAGTTTATTTTTTTTTCTCAAGTGAGAACTCAAAAGAAAAGAGGGATATAGTTTAGTTTGCAAGAGTAACCTGGGTCACGCAAAATGACAAACGCAATGACATAAAAAACGAGAAAAAACAACGAAGCAGATTGCAATCAGAGCAAAATACAATCTTTGTGCAAAAGAAGTCAAAACGCAGTTCACAAACATCAATATTAATTCAAATAAAGTGCAAGTGCCAAAAGTTGGCTTGGACAAACGAAGAAACCGGGGGCTGAGGCAAGGTAGAATCTTAAGGCCACATTGCGACTCAACTCCTAACCAGAATTCCGTGGCCAGTATGCCGTTCACATTGACATTGATTTACACCGGACGTCATAATCATTGTGCGTCGTTGTCGATAATATAAGGTGAACATAAATAAGCAGACACAACACCTTCTTCCTGTATTTATCTCTCCATGCAAAAGGTAAAAGTGATTTTACGCTCCCCATCAGCTGCCACGGCCTTCTGGTAGTACAGCGGTGTCCTTGCCTGTAAACATTGGGCAATTCACCAGCGTTCGTTTCAGCGAGCCTGACTGATCGTTATAAACATTTTTTTCTATTTTTGCACTTACTTACCCAGTAAAGGCTCACCGAGTCTCATGTCTCTTTTTCAGGAGGTTCCTGCCTAGTTTTTTTTCAGTCGAGGGCGATGATTGCTATGCATAATCCCAATCGAATAATTTCAGGGTAATATTGAAAAGTTTGCCAAATATTTGACTACGAAGCCGGCACACAATGGCCTTCTCTTGCGAATTATGTCATGGGGTCTTTAATGTACACTGAGAAGCAGACGTTGAAACTGGTCCAGAGTTTGCTTGAATGTAACCCATTACTGTGTTATTGACAGAGCTGAACCTTATCAAAGCAACTGGAAAAGAAGCTTCTCGCCTTCAACCAAATATGAATGAATGGGCAAGAGCCATTCGTTATTCATCTGCCTTCTGTCATTACACATTCGTTTAGCAAGGTTGGATACGGTGTGAAATAAGTTTAACATACATAATATTGCCAGAATCCCATTCATTGATCATTTCTACGTGGGCTGGAAGCATTCGCAGTTGGCAATGACAGCTCTGCAATTTCTTGCTCACATCCCTTTCAGGGCGTATCTTGATCTACTCTTCCACGCTGACCAAACACCTTGGAAGAGGTTGGAGTACACCACTAAACACTTTACCCCACAACACGTGACCTGTCGATCGACTGAATATTGTTTACCCATTTATGCTGCTGGTTGCGACAGACAGGGAGATTTAAGGAACTTGCACCATTGTTTCAAGCATTTTGGTGAGGAAAAAAAGTCTCTTAATACATCATATTCTTGGTTCCCATCTACGTGACTTTACCGAAAGAACCAAGCATATGAATCCCTGCAGTCACGAAAGCTTTAAATCAAAGGTTAATACATCGCGAGTGTTAAGAACCCTTTCAGGGCGTTAAACGTTAACACTGTCCCTGCTGCCGTTTGTCTCCGCACAGCTCAGCGGGAAGGTTGCACACTGGGACCAGCAGCAGCGGCATGCGCGTCAGCTCCCACTCTAAGCCCTGGCGCTCGCTGCTCGATCTTGGGTCGTGGGACGACTCGGAGGTGGACACCCCGCCGGCCGTGAGGCGGGTGCTTCAGCTGTGGCAAGGCTTCCGTCTGGATGACTACGCGGCGTTTCACGGGCGCCCGGAGCCAAGGCCTAAGCCTCGGAGCGCCTCGTGCGCTCGCTCGCCCAAAGTCACCATCCCCAAGCCTTTCTCGGTGGGTTTGCGTGCGTCTTCACCGGCTGGTGATATGTGAGCCAGCTGCCACACGTGACCCCCAATACGTATTGCAATGCAGTGATGTCACGCGCCGCGTACTACCTGCTCTGACGTACGCTTTGGAAATGTCGTCATTCAAGAAAAATATGGAGCAAAAATTAAAAGGTAGCATTACAATTTCCATCATCATGCTTTTCAGTTTTTTCTTCGATTTTATTTTTGTTAATGATCATGATTCTTAACCATGTGTCTCGTAGCAGGAAGTACAAACTGATAAAAAAAGAAACCTTTCTTACTGAGGCACATTGAAAAGTGTGAAAATGTCCATGGAAAGATACATACTTGGAATTATTGTGAGAGACAGAAAGAGGAACGCACGGATTAGAGAACACAACTGCATTGTTTTACCGTCACCCTCGCCCCCTCTCTTCCTTCATAAAAAAAAACCTTTAAAAACACCCCCTCACACCCACTCCACACCCAACTCCTATTCCGTAAGTAATAAAGATAGTAATCCCCCTCCACCAGGGGAAAATAATAGACACGAATTTCAAAAGGAACAAGACGTACGTGCCAGATTGTGTGTTTTGTGCACGTTGTTTTTACAACGCTTCCTCTTCTGCGAATTGCCAAGAAACCACGGCCAGGATTACCAAGAAACCACCAGCAGGAGTTTGTTGGGAATCGTGTGGGAAGCGAGGCCACGGGGGGGGGGGGCCTTTGTTTTTCTTCGTGTGATTGTTGGCCATTTCATCAGCAGCCAGTGTGTGGGACGAATGCTTCCAGCCCGTCCACTCCCCCCGAACTGGCCTAGCCAATTACAGATCCCTTGCCCGCCTGCTAGAAGGCAGCGGCTTACACGTGAATGGGAAGGAGACAGGATTCATTACTGTTGTGTCTGTTGTCATCTCATCTTTAGCCCTTGTTTATTTTTTTAGTCTCACAAATAATTTGTATCTAATTACAGTGAGGGAAAAAAGTATTTGATCCCCTGCTGATTTTGTACGTTTGCCCACTGACAAAGAAGTGATCAGTCTATAATTTTAATGCTAGGTTTATTTGAACAGTGAGAGACAGAATAACAACAACAAAATACAGAAAAACGCATGTCAAAAATTTTATAAATTGATTTGCATTTTAATGAGGGAAATAAGTATTTGACTCCTCTGCAAAACATGACTTAGTACTTGGTGGCAAAACCCTTGTTGGCAATCACAGAGGTCAGACGTTTCTTGTAGTTGGCCACCAGGTTTGCACACATCTCAGGAGGGATTTTGTCCCACTCCTCTTTGCAGATCTTCTCCAAGTCATTAAGGTTTCGAGGCTGACGTTTGGCAACTCGAACCTTCAGCTCCCTCCACAGATTTTTTTATGGGATTAAGGTCTGGAGACTGGCTAGGCCACTCCAGGACCTTAATGTGCTTCTTCTTGAGCCATTCCTTTGTTGCCTTGGCCGTGTGTTTTGGGTCATTGTCATGCTGGAATACCCATCCACGACCCATTTTCAATGCCCTGGCTGAGGGAAGGAGGTTCTCACCCAAGATTTGATGGTACATGGCCCTGTCCATCGTCCCTTTGATGCGGTGAAGTTGCCCTGTCCCCTTAGCAGAAAAACACCACCAAAGCATAATGTTTCCACCTCCATGTTTGATTGTGGGGATGGTGTTCTTGGGGTCATAGGCAGCATTCCTCCTCCTCCAAACACGGCGAGTTGAGTTGATGCCAAAGAGCTCCATTCATCTGACCACAACACTTTCACCCAGTTGTCCTCTGAATCATTCAGATGTTCATTGGCAAACTTCAGACGGGCATGTATATGTGCTTTCTTGAGCAGAGAGACCTTGCGGGCGCTGCAGGATTTCAGTCCTTCACGGCATAGTGTGTTACCAATTGTTTTCTTGGTGACTATGGTCCTAGCTGCCTTGAGATCATTGACAAGATCCTCCCGTGTAGTTCTGGGCTGATTCCTCACCGTTCTCATGATCATTGCAACTCCACGAGGTGAGATCTTGCATGGAGCCCCAGGCGGAGGGAGATTGACAGTTCTTTTGTGTTTCTTCCATTTGCGAATAATCGCAGCAACTGTTGTCACCTTCTCACCAAGCTGCTTGGCAATGGTCTTGTAGCCCATTCCAGCCTTGTGTAGGTCTTCAATCTTGTCCCTGACATCCTTGGAGAGCTCTTTGGTCTTGGCCATGGTGGAGAGTTTGGAATCTGATTGATTGATTGCTTCTGTGGACAGGTGTCTTTTATACAGGTAACAAGCTGAGTAGGAGCACTCCCTTTAAGAGTGTGCTCCTAATCTCAGCTCGTTACCTGTATAAAAGACACCTGGGAGCCAGAAATCTTTCTGATTACGAGGGGATCAAATATTTATTTTCCTCATTAAAATGGAAATCAATTTATAACATTTTTGACATGCGTTTTTCTGGATTTTGTTGTTGTTATTCTGTCTCTCACTGTTCAAATAAACCTACCATTAAAATTATAGACTGATCATTTCTTTGTCAGTGGGCAAACGTACAAAATCAGCAGGGGATCAAATACTTTTTTCCCTCACTGTATGTCTCAGGCGACTCCAAGAGCCTTTCTGCCCAAGGGCCGTGCAGAATATGGGAGCATTTCTGATTGCGATTTGTTCTAATAATAATAATGTTGAGCTTTACATAGCGTCGTTCATGAAAATTGCATCTCATGACGCTGTAGGATTTGTTTCGCGCGCTCATTTTTCGCACGTAGGCATGGCAAACCACAGCCAAGCAGGAAGGCAGCCGGCACTGGTGCCAACTATTGCCCAAGCTCTATGGTCCTACATTGGGATGCTTGGCCAACTCATCAATGAATGTGTATACACGTGGGAGGAAATGGTAGTAACTGGAGAAAAGCCATGCAAGCGTAGGGACGATAACACTTAATCCCCACGCAGAATTATTCATATTTATTGTTATTTTTATGTTTAAGACGTTATGGAGTGCAGTTAAACTGGCTGTACTGCTATACCCTGGCAAGCCAAGAGGAGGCGACCTCGACACCAATGGGTAGGCAGGGGGTTTCGCGAAGTCGGAATCAGCATATTTATTTATACTGGAGAAATCCGATGAGCTATGAAGCTTTTTTTCATAGATGTCCAGTGAGTGATCCATCAACCTTTTTACCTGCAGAGTTGCGGACGACCGTCGTGCATAGCCCCCCGCCCCCCTCCAGCGCCAGCTTGTCAGCTTGTCAAACCGCGATCCCCGCCCGCCCGCCCGCCCGCCACCTCCGAGCGTGCAGCTGGTGCAGCGCGAGGTGGAGCGGGAGGCGGCGCGGGGGACGCGGCGCCGCCGCCTGGCGGAGGAGCTGGCGCGGCTGGCGCTGGAGCGGAGGCAGCGCGAGGAGGCGGAGTGCGCCGTGAGGGTGCGCGCGGCCCCCGTGCCGGCGCGCAGCCTGCTGCCGCTCTACCACGAGCTGCGCGAGCGGGCGCAGCGGCGCAGCCACGGCAACCGCGCCGCACGCAAAGTAAGGCGCCGCTGCGCTCACGCTCGTTCTGGCCTTCTTCGTTGGCCATGCGGCGCCGTTGTGTGTGGGTGTGTGTGCGTCCACGCCGGTCCAGGCGTCAGGGTGCTCCTTACATCCTTTGCTGCAAGGTGAGGAGGAGGAGGAGGAGGAGAGTTACGCCGAGTCCCAGGACCCTTTGTCAGGAGGGTCCTGCATTGGGATGTTTGGTCGATACAAATTGACGAGCGTTTGTGTGGATGTATGCGGTCTGGCCAGCTGGGTTACCACTGGATACAGATGAGTTTGGACGAGAAAGTGAGGTCGAGGCTGTGCAACTCTCCCTCGCTTAAATCCAAAGCGCAAGTCATGACACCATCATCAGGTCGAACAAAGATGGATGTTGAACTTTTTCTGCGCCGTACGGAGCAACTGTGCTAATGTTGCAGCACCACGCTTGTTTGCCGGTTACACTCGACGCTGAAGACCGGTGCATGTATTCTTGTGGTGCTGGCGGTGACCGACAGGAAGAACTGCGGGCATCACTGAAGCCGTTTGAGTTTGCGGAGAGGGAGGAGAACAAGAGAGAGTTGAGAGTGTGTCCACGGCACGACTTGGAAAAGGAGGTGTCATCTAAGGTACCACCCTGACGCAGCTAACCGAACACTTCCAGGATGTAACTCATTATTTGGTGATAACTGCATTAGAGCAGTGGTGCACAAGCACTAATAATAATTCAAACTAAAACACAATCGGAGTCGGGAGATATATTCAAGTCTGCTTTGAAACCCCATCTCTAAAAAGGGGCCTTCCCTCTATAGTTTGGTCGGTTTTCTCCTGGTTCTGCTTTTGGTTTTCATGCTATTCCTGCATTGCGCATTGGGATCCTAGGATGGAATGCGCATGATGAATTAGATTTTTTATTAATAGTCATCAACACTGCCTCAAAGGTAAAACAATATGTAATAGGCAACCTTTTGGTCAATGGCCCTTTGTAGCACATGAATGAGAATATAGGCCAAGTTTTTTTCTATTCTTTTGCTGAAAGAAATTACATTTAATTTACTGGCTTCCACATGAACCACAGATTTCTCCAAATCAGAATCAGTATTTATACTGGAGGAATCCGATGAGCTATAAAGCTCTTTTTCACAGATGTCCAGTAGGGGCAGGTCAGAACGTTACCACAACAAACAGTACAAAAAAACACGATAGAAGTGCAAAGTATAGGAAAGGTAAACACATCTGTTTAAACAATAAAAACAAATAAAACTAAACTTTTTTTTGTCTTAGAAGCAACCCGGCCAAAAACGATTGCTCAACGAAGCAGCCCATCATGTGGAAATGTATGGCAGCAAATATAATCTAAACAATAGCGACTCATGTTTAGAAAATGTGGAGGGAAAAACCGGAGGAACCGGAGTGAAAAAATCCACGCGACCACGGGGAGAGAGAGAGAGAGAGAGACGCAAACTCCAAATATACAACATTCATCAGGGCTGCCAGCAGAGCACACTTGAAAATAGAGTCACTAGCTTGGGCTTAGGCTAATGTGGTAAATGTGTCAATTGAACTTGTTGTGGACATTTGATACTGCGCCGCTATGGAGTGGCCGGTAGTGGTCAGGTGGACCACTGGTGACACAAATGTAAGGCAAAATAAAACCCATAACAAGGCTTACTTGCTCATTATAAACTGCTTAACACCCACGACAGGTACGACCGTTTCCTTTTCAAATGGGAAATTACAGCGACCCACATGTGTGAATGTGGCGCAGTGCGATCTGTTGATCACGTAACCGACCACTTCCCATTATGCGCTTACACAGGCGGTACGGATTCCACACATCCACGGCAGCTCCTGGTGCCATCGAATGGATTACCAGACTCAACACGCGCAATCAGTTGCTCTTCAAATGCCATACGAAAGACAGAGAGAGACCCTCTCTCCTCCCCCCATCTTCCCCCACTCTCCATCCACACCCTCCCCTCTTCCATCCGTGTCCACCAATATAACAATATAACATATTTACCCAATATTACATACTTGGCCAATACTGCTGCTATCAATGAAACCTAAAGTGTCGCAAATGTCACTGCTGCTTGTGTGCCTGTGTAACGTGTGTACATGTGGGGGAGCGGCAGCGCAGGGGTTAGTTCACTGCGCTACGAACCCGGCGACACGATTTCGATTACCGCTCATGGCCATCATCAGTGACGAATATCTAAACCGGTCCTGGGCCTCCCCTAGGTCGACTCAGCCTCAAATGAGTAGCCGGTGCGGCGTGTAAAATATCCGCACTGGGGGAGACCAAGGCGGCCGGAAGTGATGCTGGCCACCGACCACTTCGCGTGCCATGCCGACTTTCATAGGTGCTTCTCGCTAACAGCTCCTGCCCCAAAAGTCTGTTGTAGGCTATACGTGGGGATCTTTGTCTTTGTGTACGCTGTGTGTGTAGGCAGAGTCAGTGCAGCGATTAACGCTACCGATATGGCCACTGAGTTAATTTCCCGCTCGCAGACAACATCGCTGATGAATAGCTGAACCAGGTCCCGTGCTTCCCCCTGGGTCAACTCGCCCTCAGACGAAAGCCTTGCTGGGCGTGGTGCTGACCACCCACCCCGTCACGTGCCGTGCCGACCTTCACAGGCGCTCCTCGCTAACGGCGCTTGCACCAACAGTCTGTTAAAGGCTACACCGGGGATCTTTGTGCACGTGTGTAGTCCCGGCGCGCGGGCTCGGCAGAGCGACCGGCCCTGCGAGCCGTGCTAGACCCCAGCGTGAGCGAGCGGCTGGCGGCTGACGAGCTTCTGCGGCGAGTGCGGGCCGGCATGCGTGCCCAGGAGCTCCTGGAGAAAGCGGCCATTCCACCCGGACTCCACGCCCACATCGCACAGCAGGCCCGGGGTGAGCAGCGGGAGGGTGAGCAGACTTGAGTAATTAGAATGAAGGACAACACGTATTTGTTTTACACTAGCTTATCCTTGAGTGGGATCGATTGGCCGAAAGGTTTATATCACTGTCGGAGCTTTTTGTTGTAAGGAACCCTGGGATTGCCTGCACGGTAAAGTGCTCCGTACAAGCGTAAAACGGATTGTACAGGACGCTGATCGCATTCTCACGCGTGAAGCTGCACCCTCTGCTGCGCCGCGACAGGCAGGTCACGCACGGCACCCGTGGCAACCCGCTGCTCGGAGCCGTCGTTTCGCCCGCGCGTGCACCACAGCGTGCCCGACTTCCAGCGCCTGCTGCGCGACTTCCAGCGCAGCTCGCTGTCGCGCTCGGCCCCTCCGCCGCCGCCCGTCGCCTGTGCTCCCTTCGCGCTGCGCACGACGCAACGCGGGGAGAAGAGGGCCGCCGCAGCCACGGCCTCCGCCGGGAGGGACGCGCGGCCGAGGGCCTTCCGCTCGAGCCCGTGCCCCCCGGCGGCCGACTGGATCCCAACCCGCAGCAACGACGCGGCGAGGCGGCGGCACGAATCCATACGGTGAGGTCGCACCAAGGTTGGGACGTGTCGAGCAAGAGTAACTGCTGCTGCTGCTGCTGCGTAGGTTTTAACGGCTGTGATGTACCGCATTCTTCCCATTATTTACCCCGCTGATCTCGTCAAGGAGCATAAACCATCGTCACGCCAACTCCGGCAAGCCTCGCAGCGTGCAGCTTTTGGCTAAACCATCGAACAAAGACGGTGGTCACCACACCGCGCGCATTCAGATGTGCTTCTGTGGCCATGTGGAATGCTGTTCCTGCCAATATTAGGAAGCCGCTGGAGCTATGGACCTTTAAATTATCTAGATTGAACTACTTTTTGTGTTTTGTTGTCCTTTCCCCGTATCTCCAATTAGCACAGTTGGCTACGTACGGTGCGAAAGAAGTTCAACATACATACATAAATCGTAGGTTTTTGCCTCCACATTTAGAAACATGCATTTGGAGTATTTGGCTGCTCGAAATTTCCACGTGATAAGCCACTTTGTTGCACTATCATTTGTGGCCAGGTCGCTTCTGAAAAAGAGCCAAAGTAAAAAAAAAAAGTTTCAATAGTTCATAAGACGCTCCGGAAATTAAGACTTGCCCCAAACTTGTACGCAAGTGTCAATAAAGTTATCAAAATCTGGATATACATATACACACACCGACTGGATTATAAGACACCATAACCTGTGGTTTAAAATCCAGGGTAAAGTGCGTCTTGTATTCTGGAGAACATGCGACAGCTCTGATATAATAATAGGGTTTTTCCTCTTTTTTCTCGCAACAAAACTTAAACTTTTTTACAAGGAATCATGTGTGCATTAACCACAATACTTGTGGTCAAATTGCAAACAAAAAACACACTGATAATATGATGCATTGTCCTTGAAACTGATTGGTCCACACCAGAGACGGCTTTCTTTTGAGCCTCGTCTCAATTTGTGCTAGACCAGAGGACGCCAAAAGGTGTACAGCTCAAAGACAATGCACTGTGTTTTCTGGTTGTACAGCACGCGGTATTGAACCCGAGAAACGCATCAGAGAGCTAATGAGCAACCACCTACACTCACGTACGCTCTTTTAGGCTAGCGAGAGGGTGTATTTTGTTTTTTTCCCACTCATGTACAGGACTTGGATCAATCCACTGCCGAATTATGGCCTCACCGTGCCGTGCCGGTCATGGGGATTACTTGACGATGCTTCACCGCAATGGTCAAGGGTGGTGGGGCGGTGAATGCGCGGAGCACAAACGTGGGAACATAAAAGTGCGGTGCAGTGGAATTTACAGCACTGCCCTCTGCTGCCCATCACCAGGCCTTCTCTGTTTGACAACATCATACAGGCAGTCCCCGGGCTACAGAAGGGTTAGGTTCCCGGGAACGACCCGTAATCCGAATTTCCCGTATGTCGGAAACTGAACATTTTCCCCCCAAAATCAACGATAGAATCCCATAGCCGGAAATAGTTGTGCATCCCCTACCCGATTACTAGGTTTGTTTTCTGTCAGTATTGTATCTTGCTGTCATCCATTTTCTATCGCTTCCTGTATCGTATTGCTGTGCATAGGCTCTGCACTTCCTGTGATTCTTTCATTAAATCGAATATCAACCCTCACACTACCCATAATGAAACTAGTGGAACATAGACTGTATCCAATTGTGTATGAATACCACGAAACATTTTAATATTAATTGTTAACGGAACGCAGTCACTTCCGAATGTTTGTTTACCGTGCATTAGCCCAGGCCTCAGACATCTCCAATCGTTGTTGGCTGAGACCATAAACAGTCGAAGTGTAATTGTGTTAAATAAAGTACACCCAGTAAATAACTCATGAAATAAACTTAAAATGAAGAAAACTAGCCATTGAAACATGGGGGAAAAAAAGAGTTCTGAGATAGAAAAACAATTGCGTAACGCTAACAAAAAATTCCATTTACCTTAATGCTAGTGAAACTCTGGCCCAGTGAAGGTGGCATCCGCAGCCTCACCGCGCCACACGACTTGCGCTTACGTAACTAACGCAAACATTTCGGCATTTGACGTTTTTTTTCACGTGATTTATGGGCGCATTCCTCTGAGGTCGGATTTCCGTAAGTCGGGTATTCCGCAACCCGGGGAATGTTTCCGTGTATTTAATTTGGCAAATAGGAAATTTGTTGGCGTGTGTGATTTTTACTTGTTTATTTTTTTTTCCTGGCAGCAGTAGGGCGTTGGAGGGCAGAGAGCGAAAGGAGAGGGATGAGGAGGAGAGGGCGAAGACGAGGAGGGAGAGGGAGAGAGCGATGCGTGCCGACCTCTTGCGACGGGCGCGTGCCAACGACCCTCATCGCAGCCTCGCCGAGAGCCACCCCGGAAAGCTGAGACAAGTCAAGTGAGTTGCACGCAGGTCAAGTGAGTTCCACACGGGTCAAGTGAGTTCCACACGGGTCAAGTGAGTTCCACGCAGGTCAAGTGAGTTCCACACGGGTCAAGTGAGTTCCACACAGGTCAAGTGAGTTCCACGCAGGTCAAGTGAGTTCCACACGGGTCAAGTGAGTTCCACACAGGTCAAGTGAGTTCCACACAGGTCAAGTGAGTTGCACGCGGGTCAAGTGAGTTGCACGCGGGTCAAGTGAGTTCCACACGGGTCAAGTGAGTTCCACGCGGGTCAAGTGAGTGGCACGCAGGTCAAGTGAGTTGCACACAGGTCAAGTGAGTTCCACGCAGGTCAAGTGAGTTCCACGCAGGTCAAGTGAGTTCCACGCAGGTCAAGTGAGTTCCACACAGGTCAAGTGAGTTCCACGCGGGTCAAGTGAGTTCCACGCAGGCCAAGTGAGTTCCACACGGGTCAAGTGAGTTCCACGTAGGTCAAGTGAGTTCCACGCAGGTCAAGTGAGTTCCACGCAGGTCAAGTGAGTTCCACGCGGGTCAAGTGAGTTCCACGCAGGTCAAGTGAGTTCCACGTAGGTCAAGTGAGTTCCACGCGGGTCAAGTGAGTTCCACGCAGGTCAAGTGAGTTCCACACAGGTCAAGTGAGTTCCACACAGGTCAAGTGAGTTCCACGCAGGTCAAGTGAGTTCCACGCGGGTCAAGTGAGTTCCACGCGGGTCAAGTGAGTTCCACGTAGGTCAAGTGAGTTCCACGCAGGTCAAGTGAGTTCCACACAGGTCAAGTGAGTTCCACACGGGTCAAGTGAGTTCCACACAGGTCAAGTGAGTTCCACACAGGTCAAGTGAGTTCCACGCGGGTCAAGTGAGTTCCACACAGGTCAAGTGAGTTCCACGCGGGTCAAGTGAGTTGCACACAGGTCAAGTGAGTTCCACGCAGGTCAAGTGAGTTCCATGCGGGTCAAGTGAGTTCCACGTAGGTCAAGTGAGTTCCACTCGGGTCAAGTGAGTTCCACATGGGTCAAGTGAGTTTCACGCGGGTCAAGTGAGTTGCACTCGGGTCAAGTGAGTTCCACTCGGGTCAAGTGAGTTCCACATGGGCCAAGTGAGTTGCACACGGGTCAAGTGAGTTCCACGCAGGTCAAGTGAGTTTCACGCGGGTCAAGTGAGTTCCACGCAGGTCAAGTGAGTTGCACACAGGTCAGGTGAGTTTCACGCGGGTCAAGTGAGTTGCACGCAGGTCAAGTGAGTTGCACGCAGGTCAAGTGAGTTCCACGCAGGTCAAGTGAGTTCCACGCGGGTCAAGTGAGTTGCACGCGGGTTAAGTGAGTTGCACACGGGTCAAGTGAGTTTCACGCGGGTCAAGTGAGTTGCACGCAGGTAAAGTGAGTTCCACGCAGGTAAAGTGAGTTGCACACGGGTCAATAGAGTTTCTAATCATCATTATCATCCTCATTCCATCCTGAAACTCAGCGAAGAGGAAATTGGGACAATTCCAACATCCCTCACAAGCACTTAATCACTCACAGAAGAACCAAACTCAATGGTGCCTATTGAATCGCATCAGAACATCACACAACAGATGCACTTATCTCCTACGCTGATGATAAAAAGTTACGATATTCACCAGGCTATCCTGAAGTTATTCACTGGTCCATTAACATCGACGTGAACATTTAAACATTACCGATCAACTTCTCGACAATCACACCAGAGAAGTAGGTCATAAGACATCGTCGTCGTCGTCACCACCAGCAGCAGCAAAAGCAGAGAGCAGCATTTTCGTCTCGGCATAAGCTGTCAAACAACAAAACAACGTAGCTCCAGCAGGTAAAGCGCGCGTTGAGTTAAAGAAGGCAAGATACGGCGATAAAGGTGCATCGTGCGTCTCCACCTACCCCTCCCTGTGCATTCCCCCCCCCCCCCCCCCCCGGCAGGGAGCAGGACAAGAAACGCACTAACGAGTACAACACAGAGCTGCAGGCTATGAAGGCTCGTGTGGCCAGAAGACCTCTCCTGCTGGAGCAAGTCACCCAGGTATCGCCATCATCATCTCACATATACGTACATGCTTTGGTTTAAAGTTGGTGAGAGCATATTGGCAAACCAAAAGTCTCACTTTCAAGAGAGGCCTGGGGGCCACAGTAAGATCAGTAAACGCGTAAACAAATGGGCACAGCCTATTGCATCATAAACCTGCCGATATCAAAATTAAACTCGCGCAACAACGATAAACAGTAAACAATTTACAAACAAAAACAATAACGCACTCTTGATCTTAATGAAGCAAATCAAACTGCACGCAATGGGTAAGAACATGTTAGAGAGCTGACGTCATAAAGGAATTTTACATCCTTATTTTGTAAAAGCATTTAGAGCACGTCACGCTTCACGGGGAAACTGAACATGCCCTTGATGGTCTCTGTTTAGGCCCAGCGTATTATCATATTCTCTACATTATAGGACACACTTGTTTCCAAAGTTGGTGGTGCATCGTACAATATGCTTGGGTTTTGTGTGTGTGTGATAGAGAGACTATATGTGTATACATTTATTGGCACCAGGTACAAGCTTGGGGTGCGTCTCCCTTTTGTGAGCGTGTCATAATTAAGAAAATACGGTGAATCAAGAGTTTTTGCACATTTCCAAGTGTAGTTTTACGAGACAGGAAAATCTTGGAGGGTAATTGTTTTTTTTTGCTCGGGTCGCACAGCTCATAACAAATAGTTTCTGTAATCCTGTGGTTGTGTTTATAATGAGAGTGCATCACAAGGCATCAGAGCTGCGCACCGCATTGTTCTTTTGTAGAAATGACAGGAACGTGGCACAAGTGGCGTTTGGCAGCTTAACCTTTGCCGATGCAGAAATGCGCCATTCAAGGTCATTAGCGCAATAATGTCCCTAAGCTTGTACAGGAGAGTCTGCTGGCTCGTGACATTTCGGAGGTGGAATTTTTTTTTTTCACATTTAATTTTTGAATGGTCCATTACGAAAGCAAACGAGCAACCCAAAGACACATTTGCGTATAATTTTGATAGAAATGTACTGTTTTACTTTTAGGATGAAATCACCTGAAACTCCTCTAATCTAGGGGGGGGGGGTGGTGGTGCTATTGACACATTTATCTGAACAACCACTACCAATTTACTCCACTTATCTGTTCATTTGTGTATGTATGTTGAACATCTTTCGCACCGTACGTAGCCAACCATGCTAATCGGAGGTGCGGGGATAAGAGACAGAGTGCGAATTGCAGAAGAATTGATGCATCGACAATACGTATTTTATGCCGATCAATTCTGGGTAGGGATAATACCAAGAGGGGAATAAATTGGAAGGTGTCTATGATAAATTTCACCTTCATGTCTCTAAAAGAGCGCTCCAAAAACTACGCTACGATGTAGCCGGGGGTCAAGGGGCTTTTACCCTGCGACAGGGAATGCATGGAGTGCAGGTGTAAGGATATTCTAGGTCGCCTTCTTGCCCTCTGCGTTCTCAAACTCTGCCGTCTCTCTCTGTTCCTCCTCCTTGTGCTCAATCCACGCTTTCGCCCTTTTTCTCGTATTGCCTCCCTTCACTGGATTCAAACTTCCCCACCACATTAAGCAGTCACCTTCGCTCACTAGTTTCTGCCCCTCATTAAAAACTCGCCTATTTTCCCTAGCTCGCCCCACGACCATTTAATCTCCCCCCTCATAACCGCCACCGTTACTTATCCCTCTTCATATTCTCATTATACGGCTGTCACTCAGTCCCCATTCATTCCGTCCATTCATCATCATTTACTATCAATTTCGCCCTCACCGAATTCACGCATCACAGATTTGCCCCCATCGCTTCCTCTCATCAATTTTTATTGACCTCATCTCCACCGTTACATTCACATGTATCATTGTTAATTACCTTTGAAGCGCCTTGATTAAGGCGCTTTATACATTTCTTCAAGGTAAGGTAAAATATTGAGTCTCTGGATTCTCATCGTAGTTGATGGTGTCCTGTATTGTGTAGCTATGCAGTGCAGTGACAACAAGGCAGCTTGTGAATGTAAATGTGTCACGGGAAGCGTGGTTTCCCATATTTCCGCTCAGACGTCCCTCGTCTGCATCTGTTTGTCATGTAATGCATCATCATGTAAACCGGTCACTCAAGGTTATGACGCTGTTAAAAGTTTCGAGTTCATATCCTGCCCGGAGATTGCTCAGCCAGTCCATCTGAAAAGGTCAACGACACCAGTGCCGCGTTGTCGGAATTCCCCATTTTCACAGACTGACTCCCACCATGGGTTTGTGGCGTTTTACATAAAACTGACTCACGGCCTCCAACGTAAGACTGCCCTATTGCTCATTTGAGTAGGGGGGACACACTGACTTCAATTGTTTTTGGGGTTGTTCCTTCCTTAAGTTATCTTTGGGTTGTTCCTGTCTTTAAATAACAAGGGAAATGTGTTACCCAAGAGCTTAATGTGGAATTTAGACGCACAGGGCATAATTCTTATAAATGGGTGTCATTTATCATTCGAATGATTGCTCATTTCCATCGGATTCTGTTTTGTAAAGACGTGGATAAAAGCTTCATTGGTGGCAATGTGGATCCGCCGGAATTTTTTAATGATGGATTTGATGAAAATTAGCAATTGTAAAGATAGATTACATTTTGTGTTAATGAATTTAATCAAATACACCAGCTGTTAAGAACTATGCACATGTAAATTAGTACAATTTATGGTTATTTTTAAATGAGTCAGTGTGCTAAACAACACATATTTTCCTCTGTAGCTAATTGGGATAAAATGTAAACAACGCATTGTTTTCTCTGTGGCTAATAGGGATAGAATGTAAACATGGAAATGTTAGTTTTACATCAAGCTTTGCATAAACTCTGAGCAACGCGCCAACTATGCCACTAAGATATCCATTTTTTTACCAAAGCAAGTTGACTCATCCCTTGACTGATTTTATCATTGTGGTGTATTTTTCTTTTTTAAACACTACACAAATTGTCACCTACCTCCACTGGGCAGACTTCTTGGAAAAATGTGGGAGTGCCCACACTTTAACCCACCATACACCACCGGTGGATCGACGTGCTGTGGTATTCCCATTTAAACTGCTGGGTGGACAAAATTACCCTTTTATTTTTTTACCGTAAATGAAAATATGGGAGTACCCACACTTTAACCCACCACGCCACCGGTGGATCGACGAGCTGCTGGGTGGACAAACTTACGCATTTTTTTTTTGCAATTTATGGACATGCCATAAGTGATAAGGCTTTTGCTGTTAAGGTGAGTAAACCGGATAGGGCTTAATGCTAATTTACTTATGAATTACCATCAAACCTATCCGGTTTACGAAGCTTGACTGTCATCCACTGACGAATGCCCGAGGGAGACACTCGGCCCCGATGTGGAACTGCGCCTTCACAGAGGAACGCCAAGAGGCAGGCGGAGCGGCGCTTTCGGGAGGCGCTGCAGGAAACCGGGATGGATGAGGAGTTTGTGCGCGAGCTTGGAAGCGGGGCGGCCGGCGGGGAGACGCCCGGGCCCGCTGATGAAGACGGTGACGACGGTGACGACGATGACGATGGTGCGAGCGACACGGGGATGACGGGCGGCGTCCCAGACTCGGTCGGCCGAGGAGACTCCCAGGACTCGCGCCCTCTGCAGAACAGCAGGTGCTGCTCGCTCACAGTGGGGGCCACACGGGGGCTTCAGTAAGCACGGGAAGAAGAACCATCCATACGCATGGAATCCGTTACGCTTTTTAACATGCGTTTGCCGCCGGAAGGTACTGTATGTAATTAACAGTGGTGGCGTTACATTTTAAGCCCCACAATAAGGCGATGTCGTCCATAACGCTATGGTCCTGGCAACCTTAATACAATTTTCCAGCCTTGCACATCGATGTCACGTGGTATGTGAGCATGTTCTAGATTTGCCCTGGGTCAACGCTGCCTTAAATAATGAGCTTCCAGCAGGGTGTAATAATCAGCAATTTTGAGATGTGGGCAGTCAAGTATGGTTCCGGACCCTCATGCGTCATACTTTCATAGGTGTTCCCTGTGGTCTACAAGTCTAAATGATCATATTTTCGTTTGTGTGTGTGTGTGCATGTTTATGTGTTTGTGTACTTGTACGTGTGTGTGCGTGCACCTCCGCATCTCAGAGGCGACGAGAGTGAGGATGTGAAAGGGAGCCAAGAGAGCGATGAGGGTGACTTGGAAGAGCATCGGGAAGAGGGTGACAAAGAGGATGCCAGCGAAGGTGAGGACGATGTGGATGAGCGTCAGTGATGCCGGACGATGGGACGAAGGCCCATCTCGTGCACTTTACACTCAGGAAGTGAAAGTCTTTAATATCATCGACAATGGAATCACCGACAATGGAATAATGAGCATGCCTTAGCAGAATCTAGACCTTAAAAAGCCAGAGGCACGTTCACCAATGGAACTTTGCATATAAAGTGGTTGCTGGCAAAACATGGTGTAATTGCCAATGTAGGACGCGCCTGCAAACAAAAAGAGTCTAGGTTAAATAAGTAATGAATAATTATTGCATCGATCATCGTGAATTGCTTGTCCAGTTTTCACTGCACGTAGTTCTGAGAACATCCACAAGATGGCACTCCAACACCACTCAACGAATGCACAAGGCATAACAGTAGACGTCTCAACACATCAACAAGCTAGCTACACGGCTTTGCAGGGCAATTTGTTGGACAGCAACATTTGTTTAAACAAACGCTCGACTTTCAGCGACTCATCAGGCTTGTTCTATTTGTCTATTTCAATGCCCCCCCCCCCTTAAAAACAGCTGTTCATGCTGTACAGGGCAGTCCAGATATCTTGTGCCTCCCAATTCATTAACCCCTAACATTTGTTTTTACTTTGCATATTAAATTTGTGTTTTACATCAACCTTACTTTAAAAATATATATTAGGTTTTCGAGAATTAAGGGTCAGAAGACATCTGGACCACCTTGTCGACTGGTCTGCTATTTGTTGGTTCGCTATTGGCACCAGATTTTTTTTGTGATATGCTTGTACTCGCCTTGATCTGATTGATAGATTGTGAACAGGATGTGTGTAACTGCAATACCGGTGCAATTGAGTGTTCTAATCGGTGAGGGGTGTAAAGACGCATCGGAAGGCATCACGGTGGTGAGATGTTAACTACCTCGCCTGGTTTACAGGACGTCGTGGGTTCGATCCCGACCCTGACGCATGCTGCTGTATATTTGGAGTTTTGCACGGTCGCGTGGATTTTTATCCGAGTCCTCTGATTTTTCCCTCTACACTTAGAAACATTCGGTTAGAGTATTTGGTTGCTGCTATACAGTTCCACGTGATAAGCCACTTCGTTTAGCTCTCATTTGTGAGGAGGTCACTTCTGAAAAAGAGCTGTATAGCTTAGTGGCGCCTGGCCTGGTAAAATAGATTCATCAACTCAAACCGATTTTTAAGGCTCACATCACACGTGTAAGAATCAACATGCAAATTATTTGAAAACGGTATGCTTCGTTAGCGAAACTGTGATTAGTGCATAACATTTGCATTTGTTTTGCATGCATGTTAAATAACAGATTCTTACACGTGCAATTTTTATACGTATATTATCAGTGTAAGTATTGCAATGAAATGATGAATGAACGTCTGTTGCTGGTTCAGTATTGGCACTAAGTTTTAGATGAAATATGCCGATAACCAATAACTCAAGGTATAATAATACATTTCATGCAATCCCGTATTAGCAAAGTTATTTAATCTGATTTCTTGATTACCTTTATTAATACTGTCTTTAAATTACTATGTTACGATTAAACTAGGCTCAAGAATCACGGCGGTGTAATGATTGTAGGCTTCTGATTGTAACCTATATGCATTTGTTGCAATTGTCCTCATTAACTCAGGCTTCTGGCCCAGCAATGTCTTATGTATAATTGTATTTGAATATTTTGAATATATATTTTTTTTAATCAAAGTAATTGAGATGGCCGATTAGCTAAGAAGTCAAGAGTGCTGCATTAGCACCTCTGAGATCTGGACGTCTATGAAACAGAGCTTCATAGCTCATCGGATTCCTCCACTCAATAAAGATTCTGATTAAACTGGGTCATTAAGTGCAGTGAGTTGATGGCCTCAGTCCGGTTACCGAAGGCTATGTATAAAAAAACATGTAAAATTTGGTTCTGCACTTAATTTGGGAAAATTTCAGCCTCTTAGAATGCAAATATTAGTTTGACCGGCATGCGACGAACCTCACTCTCATATGCAGAGCGGGATATTGATGTCCTTTATTCTGTGTTGACCAGAGGTCACTTGAAGGAATCTCAGAGGTAACTCTGTGATATCCACTTCCTACGAACGTTCTCCAAGACGAAGGTTTGCACCGCTCTGCAAGAGATTCGAAATGATGCTTGGCCTTGTGAAGTGATGCCAAAGAACAATCTGAATACAAATTTGGGAGAAATTAGATATATTTTTTTCCAACATGAACGTAATCATCGGATACAAGTTATGGCCATCTGTTTGACGTTACTTTCATTTGCCGACTGAAATTGGATTACCGGTACCATCTTTTTTTAGTATTATAATAAAAGTAATGCGTTAGTTGTATTATTCCCCAGGACTGTGGTCACATGTGAGAGAGTGGTCTAACCTGGTGTATGCTGTATTTTGACACCAGCCACCTATATATTTTTTAGTAATCTAATGACAAGTGCTGCGTTAGTTGTATTATTCCCCAGGACTGTGGTTACATGTGAGAACGTGGTCTAACTCGGTGTATGCTGTATTCTGTACTTGTGACGCCAGCCACCTCGGCTGTTTTACAGCCTTAAGTTACTTATCTCACCCCACCTGACGTGCGTGACTCACGAAAAGGTTGCTGCGGCAGATACATGTGCATAAACATTGCTCGTTCTGATTTTGAGCATCGTTGCATTTTTTTAATGAAGAGGGCAACACTGGGAGAGACAACAAAAAAACTTGGTTCAGGAAAGAATGTCACAATCAGGATTTATCTCAAAACCGTTGTCATTTTGTTAAAAAGTACCGACTTGGAAATGGGGTTGTTGGAAACATATGTAATTGTGTGTGAATAATAGAATTACATAAAGTTATGAAAATTACACGTATAATATATATGCATATGGCTAGCAGCTTGTGGTCAAGCTGTCTCTTTTTAGCTTATTGAGATGATCTTTTTAAAAGTTTCATGGAAAGTGCGGTCTCTTCGTGATTTTCCAATGCTCTTTATGTCTTTAAAAGAATAAGGAATATTAATCCTCATGTAATCCACTGAAATTTGAGTTTTAAATGTCCCAGAATAATGGCTGGGGGTACCTATTTTATTATACTTTACAGCACTTTACAATTCACTGCTGGATGAAAGGCTCCCAGCAACCATGTCAATCCTGGGGGTAGTTAGACCATATTCCGTGCAAGTTGGTGAAGGTCGGGGTGGGGGGCGATGGTTTAAAGAGGGGGCAGAACTGGTTTAGAGAGGGGGCAGGACTGGTTCAGATATCACTTTGCCACTGACGTTAGCTGTGACGGGTAATAGAACTCAGGTTGTCTCATTCATAATGCAGTGTGCTGACCACTGCGACACTGCTGTACCCCCACACAATGCTAAGATTGACACATTTTTTAAATACACGTGACAACAATGAGGCGCATCACTATGCTTTATTTATAAACGGATACATTTAGTATATGCCAGGATCAAAGTTGTTCTCACCTTATTAGTGTGCTTGAATTCTGTATCATGCAATATTGTTGTATATCCGTGTGCACGTGAATGTATACATGTTTAAGGAGTGCCGCCTGCTCAGGATGAGTACACACACGTGTACTGAGATAACACTGTACAAAGTAATACAAATAAAAAACATCTGGATGTTGTGTTCTGCGTAAGTGTTATGCCGAGATTTACCTCTGGGCACTTTAGAGCCAGAAAATTCCTGCCTCGAAGTGAATTTACCCAACTAGTTCTATCCTGCTGTAGTTTTTTTTCCCAGCCTTGCCCGCCTTCGTCGGTGAAATGGACATAGTTGTATATGTGCGTAGAGGAGCTGGCTGTATTGCAATGGTTTTTTCACTACGTTACAATCCCAGACACCTTGGTTTTATTCTTGGCCAAGTACAACATCACACAAATCCCACCAATTAAAGTGTTAGGCTGCAGGTTTTCCAACCCTTTTACAGGATACACATTTTTTCTCCAAAAATGGTATGAAGCAGTATTAGCTTTTGAAAATTGGCATTTTGATAAAAGAGTATAACAATTGGGCAGCCTACCGCATACATCGATAGGGTTGCCAATTATGCAACATGAGTGACTGAAATGATATCTACACCTGTTCGGGCCTTTTTAAAAGTCAACATACCATAAAATATCACCAAATGAGTTGTACACAGTGCTGACCACTCCTCCCTATGCCATTTGGGTTTTTTTTTCATTCGGCTGATGTAGATGCATAGCAACGACTACAATTTCACATTCAGGTGGTCAAGCCAGATAACCGCGTCCGGAGCAGCAAAGTATATCGCTGTGATGTCACCTTGATATTTGTGGTTTGGGCATTGCGTCGTTATATTTTGTACGGTCTGTTCTGGATGGCCACAGTCACACACTCGGAAGGGTTTTAAATTTTCCACTTGTGCATCAGGTATCCATATCTGTCTTGGTTTGTGTAGCTGATGCAGTTTAGGGTGGACCATGAGCTTTCACTGAAGATCAAACCCAGGGATATTCTGCGTTGGGTCTTTTCACATTTGGATAACCAGCACTAACAACACCTGCCTGGCAATCTCCGAGACTAAATGAGATGTCTGCCGATGTGTGAGAGAGCAACATGCGGCACTCTCTACAATAAGCACTTTGTTGAGCAGCCTCAAACACAGAAAGTGCCTATTATGGGGGTAGTTTGCTCCAGTGCCGACCAGCTCGGTATCATGTTTCAGATAATCTTTATCCTGGAAAAATTCGAAATCAGTAAAGTTATGGTCAAAAACGGTCACGGATTGAAGAATTTACAACTCGTAATAACCAACCAAGTGACGGCAGACCCGCCCAAATCGAATTGGAATCTGTTCAACCCTTCAGTTTCATAAAAATGGGATACCATCTGTGGACACTAGTTCTAAATTTACTCTTCATCCCACCATTGAAATGTTAAATTCAAACGAATCCCATGATTGCCAACAGATGGCGCACCAACCAGCACTCAGAATCCCTTACTGTACATCATAACATACAGCGGCGGTGCAGAGATAATTTAAATTAGCAGACAAATACGCGTTCACATAACTGTCCATCTACACATCCCATAAACCGCACAACCATGTGAGTGCATCATTTTGGCAGAATTGGTTCAAGACAAACTCAAAAGAACATGGTGACATGTTTTAATGTATTCATCAACTTCAAAAGATAAAATCACTTTTAGGTACCTATTGTTCTGACATTCTTTCAGTTCGATTTACTTGGTGCATTATAATAATGTAGTCCTTTGTCACGATTAATCACCTGCAGGCTAGCGATCATTAAGAGGTTGTCTGAGAATACTTCACCTAGCTGATCAGCAGTCCAGGTTAGTGAAATGGACGCCAAGCACCCGGTTCATATATCACTCGAAACTGTTCGCCGTGGCTAGGAATCAAACTCATGTCGCCGGTTTCATAGAGGAATGCGCGTTACCACTGGGTCACCTCTGCAACCCTGCAGCGGGCTCACTGTGTGCACGTTTCACCACTCCGCACGACCTCATGGTGCACCTAGTCTGGCACGGCGGTGGCACGTCCACGTGTTTGACACGTGCCCCGACTGAACCACGCGGTTCGGGGGAGGGGGGGGGGTTTGCAGGTGGGTGACGTAATCGATATAAGCGGAAGATTTTATTTGTTTAAACCCACAATTAATATAATTCATACATTTTTTTCCTAACGATTGCCGCATACAGTAAAGAAATAAGCTCGTTATCTAACTTTTAAAATATTTACTTGAAGAAAAAAATGAACGCTCGGTAAACTCCGGCAATTTCCGGCCGAGCAATGTTGATCGGGATTTGAAATTCATAACGCGTATTGGCGGGCTTCAATGTTGTGAGATAGGTCGGGTCTCTCATAGCAATCATAACACCCAGTCTACTTTCGTACGGCGGCTGATGTTCGATGCAGAGCAACAGCTACAACGTCGCGTTCAGGTTGTGGTCTTAGCCAGCAGATAACCGCGTCCAGTGAGAGCAGCGGAGTCTTTTAATATTTATGGATCGGGGGCATTGCGTCGTTTGCACGTTGTTACGATCTCTGTTCTGGATGACCCACAGTCGCAACGCTGTACTACTGAAAGAGTTTTTTTTAATTCACAATTTGTGCATCGGGGTAATCATCCGCAGCTGTCGTGTGCGCAGTGGATGTGGGTTAGGGGTGGACCATGAGCTTCGTGGAAGATTAAAAAAACTCAAGTCATCATCTGCCGTTTGGGTCTATCACAACAAGGCGTTTGTGAGTTGAATTCGAACGAGATAGGTGAGATGGTTAACCACCTCGCCTGGTATACATGAGGTCCCGGGTTCGTTTACACGGCTCTCTCTCTCTCCGTGGTCGCGTGGATCTTTGTCCGGGGATTTTCCGCTTCACATTTATAATAAACAATCACGGCGTTTAAAGAGGAGATCTATCTTTGCCGCTATGAATGTCCCCACGCGATTAAAAAGCCACCTCGCTGAGCTGTTCCCATTTGCGACAGCGACGTCGCTTCTAAAAAAAAAGAGCTGCAAACTAGCAGCGGTGCCTTTACCTCATTGAACAAAACAAAGTTTCGTCCCGAGGCATCCAATGTTTTCGTGAGAGAGATAGGTCCCGTGGCTCTCTTTATTATAATTCATCACACATTAAACACCCCCCCCCCCGCTCAGGTTCGCTATTAGACTAACCCCGCACCGCCCCCCGCCTTGCCAACACAACTACGTCACGGGCGGGTTAAACCAATGCGTGCGCGGGGGGGGGGGAGTTTGGTGGGTTGAAGCGCTGGCGAGCGGAGGGGGCCAATCGGCGACCGCCGTTCGACGCGCGCGGGAGGCCGCCGACGATTCGAAGCCGCCACCTATCCGCCATCTTGCGTTGACCAAACAAACCTCTCGCGCGTTTCCCGCTCGTCCCATTCAATGTTAAACCTCCGCGCGACGTCCACCCAACGTCCCGTCCGCTCTAAAACGCCTTAACCACGGGTGAGTGGATGGGGGCCTTTGTTTTGACCCCCCACCCACCAAAGACAAAGTTTCACCCGTATAGCCTTAACAGACTGTAGGGGCAAGTGCTGTTAACGAGTAGCACCTGTGATGGCCGGAATGGTACACAAAGGTGGTGGGTGGCCAGCACCACGCCCGACCGCCTTTGTCTCCCCCGGTGGCGCTGGTTACACACCGCACCGGGTACTCTGTTGAGGCTGAGTCGACCTAGGGGAGGCCCAGAGCGGTTAAGCTAATCGTCACTCCACTACCGCTCTCCCATCACACACACACCGCTACACTACCCCTCCTCCCCACCACACACACCGCTACACTACCACTCCCCCCCACCACTCACACCGCTACACTACCGCTCCCCCCCACCACTCACACCGCTACACCCCCCCCCCCACCACTCACACCGCTACACTACCACTCACACCGCTACACTACCGCTCCCCCCCCCCCACCACTCACTCACACCGCTACACTACCGCTCCCACCACTCACCCACCACACACACAATCCCTGACCAAGATGGCCGTCGCGCGTTCAAGACTCCGCCCCCTCCACTGCACACCCGGCCCGCCGCAACCACCACCGCCGCCGCCGCCGCTCCCATGGAGACGTGGAGATCCCAGTATGAACTGGTTAGAGCCGGTTCCACACTGGGGGCGAGCTGAGCCGCGTTGGACAAGTGGCGAGCGCGCGTGTGCGTGCCTGTGTGAGGGGGAAAGAGAGACGCTGGCTTTCACGAGGGAGGAGGAGGAGGGAGAGGGAGAGGCTCTCCTCACCAGCAAAGCAGAGCTCACCACTGGCTCACCAGAGACAACCCAGGGGTTAACACAAACCAAGAGAACACGGGGGTCAGAGAGACCCGGCCAGGTGCTGTGTGTGGCTGCACTCCCACGCTTGTAACCTGCACATTTTTTTCCTCTATCTCTCTCTCTCGCCTCACACTCTAACTCACTCACTCATCGAGAGTTGTAAAGCACTTTGGTATTTCGTGGCGATACATGCTCGTGAAGTGGTGTGTGGGGTGGTTTGTTTGGCCGCGAGAAGTCCGTGGTTGTTTTGTCGTTGAGCTGGGGATTTTGTTGTTATTGTTGTTTAATTTGCTCCGTGCCGCTCAACACTGGCGCTTAGCTTTTCACGTGGGTTGAGTGCAGTGGCTTCTAGTTTTGCTGGTTTTATTAAGAGGTGTGAGACAATGGTAGAGCTTTGCATCGTCCGTCACGCTTAGCACCTCTTTTATTAAGCGTCATGTTCTACGCAATAGGCTGCACGCCGGTGGTGGTGGTGGGGTTGTTGTTGTTTGACCATACTTCACCGCTCTGGTACGTGCGCTTTGGTGAAGGCGGGAAAGCATGGTAACGTCGTGTGGAGCACGTCATCCAGCAGTGGATCGGCAATAGGGCTATGCACTACTAATACACGGGGCAGTGTAGTCTCTACGTAGTGGGTTTATTTAAACTTTAATTCACCATGCTGGTTGGTGGAGGACTGACTGATATCACTCGCCACTTAAGTTAACCGTGGCAGGGAATTGAAACTTGGACTTATGAATTAAGTAAGGTTTGTGAAGCACTGCGCCTTCACTCCCAATCATTTACCCATGCGTTGAGCATCATGCACGTCTTACTACTACCTACTACAACAACCACACTATGCGGGTCGTGTATTGCACGGAAGTTTGAACGTCCACACACATACATTTCAAATGTTGCACACACACCACGTTAACTTTTTTTCACAAAGTTAAACATCCACCAGAAATATATACCACGATTGAAATTCTCATACACTACATAGATGTACACGCACAATAATATGCATTGTGTAATATATGGTGCATTAACATATCACACGTAAAACCTACACGTGCGCTTCAGATTCACTTCATACACGTGATATGACATAATCGAGCTTGGATAGTGGCTGTAATGTATGGATGTTCAGAGATTTTAATGCAAAACCATATTTTTCACATTGCAATTTTATCACGGGCTATATTCGTCACGGTAACTTTTACGTAATGTGAGTGCCAATAATCCTGACGCTAAACTGTAAATGAACACACATTAAGCATCTCACACTCCAAAAACACGTTATAACCACGTCCTAAACGATCACAGGACACAT